TCAAATATTAACAAATATACCCAAAAGTCAACAAATACCTTTTGATAATAAAATCAAGTATTATGAGACAATGAAAACTCAAGTAAAAATCCAAAATGAGTTAATTATATTTGTTATACACACACCAATGATTGATCCCAAGCCCTTTATATTGTATAAAATCTATCCAATTCCTATCCAAGAACTTACCATTAGGAATAAGTACCCTTACCTATTACTTACTATGGACATTTACTACAATACGTTATGGGAATGCCCGAAAGTCGAAAGTGTGTACCTTTGTAACCAAGAAGAGCTGAAGCAAGAAGAATCATGTGTCTACGACCTGATTACTGACCTACCACAACAATGTCCTTTCACTAAAGTGAAATATGAAAAACCAACAGTGAGACAACTCCCGAATGGACAACTATTAGTCATTCCTAAGAAAAACCTGACCATAGTTATTCAATGTGACAAGACAAACCATATGGAAATAATAATAAATCCAACGCTAGTTTCGTTTGAAAAATGCTTTGTGAAAATACAAAATCAAACATTTTCAAAAACCAGCGAGAACTTCAATTTTGAACTGAAGATTCCAAGAATAGACATCCCTGAACTTCCAGAGAACGCAACAACATTGGAACTTCAAGAAATCAACCAAGAAGACTTAGAAGAAGCCTTTAAGACGACGAAACAAATAAGAGTTCATAATCTAAAAGAATTGTCTTTTGAACACTCTTATTTAAACACATATGTAATCATAGGTTTAAGTCTTGCTATTTTATTTTTAATTTTACTGTTTTACTGTTTTAGGAAATATAAAACTTCAGAAAAAGGTTGTGCAAATGTGCAAATTGAATTGTCTGATTTGAATTCACAACAATCCACGTTTGCAACATCTTAAGGAGGGAGGAGTTATATAACTAATTGCCATGCTGATTTATAATCAATTATCTATTTTTTATATGCTTTAATGTGCTTACCCCTTTCCTCTAGGACTTTTTAAATACATTGTTGTAAAGTAAACATCAAATTGCTATGTCGGCATTAAATGTTTATTTAAGCCGATGCCGTCCCATAAGGAACGTTCATTTGTTTTCTGGCTTTAGCCTGTGGCAATTTGATCCGAATATTTTCTTTTGTCACCTCTGTATTTTAATCAATAAAATAAATGTTTTTTAAAATACAAGTTTCTGAATCGAAAATATAATTTACACATTTTTAACAACATCCTGGCTATCCCTATTCATTATTGTTATTATTTTTTTAATAAAGAAGCCAGATACATTATTGTACCTAATTAGTTGTTTTATTGATAAGCTCTCCAATTGCACAGGTTTTGTTTAAACATCATTAGGTTATCTTCCTAGTTAAGTCACAATTAACTTGGTGGCGCCCAAAGGTAAGATGTATACAAGGAACCCATAGACCCATGGCCGCCGAACTGATGCTGACTAGCCGTATGCAGTATAATTAGGCAATTGCCAAAATAAGTACGTTATACACTTTGACTTTGAACCCCTACCAACGGCGCTAATGTGACGGTTTTTGTTCGCAGATTTTTTTTTTTTTTTTTTTTTTTTTTTTTTTTTTTACGGATATGCGCACTCGCAAGGAAATGTCCTATCACGCTCGAGAAGCGGCAAGTGCGCGGAAATGTCGGTGTATGTTGGTCTTGAAACGGTTCAGGTTGTAACCTGCAGGGAAAACCGTCGCAGGGAGTTTATTCCACAGCGATGCTGTTCTCCAGAGATATGAATTCTGATATAATGAGGTTCTTGGTGCCTCTAGTTTGACAGTAAATTCATGGTTACCGTCTGTTTGACGGGTTCGCCTGGTAGGCGCTACTCTCGGTGGAATCATACGTGCCAACTCTTCAGAGCATTTTCCGTGATAGTACCTGTAGAAGAGAGATAAATCGCCCACAGATCTGCGATGTTCGAGACCATCCAAGTTACGAGTAAGTGCGGGGTCATTAATCAGGTTGATAGCTCGTTTTTGCACGGTGTTCAAAAGCATTAAGGTATGTTTGGGTGCTGCACTCCATATATGTGAGCAGTACTCCATAGTTGGTCGAATCTGGGCTTTGTAGAGTGTCAGCAATTGGCTTGGTGTGTACAGATGTCTTGTACGAAATAGCACCCCCAGCTTTTGGGACGCCCTTTTAGCAATATCTGCCACGTGCTTGTGCCAAGACATGTTGGTCTCTGCAGTAACCCCCAAGATGTTCAATTGACTCTGTAATGTGACAGCACTTCCAGATAGCATGATGTTTGGCTCACCGGTGCTGTTCTTTTTCGAAAACAGAGCTGCTTGGGTTTTCTGTGCGTTGAACTGTACAAGGTTTTTGTTACCCCACTCCTCTATTATCTCCAGGTCGTTATTTATCTGCGATATTTGAGTTAGTCTAAGATGATGGAATTCACGTGCGGAAAGACCTGTGGGTGGTATGAGTGAGGAGACTACATTGCCATCGTCTGCAAAGCAATAAAGTGGATTTACTGTTTTATCTATGAGGTCATTTATGTAAATCAGAAAAAGAGTTGGCGAAAGGATTGCTCCCTGTGGCACACCAGCATTTATTTGGTAAGAGTTGGAGTTCTGGCCATCCAGTGCAACATAAATGGATCTGTCCTTTAGGTAACTTTCAAACCAAGTGCAAAGTTTCGGCGATAATCCCATTGCTTTGAGCTTGTTGAGCAGATTTTCGTGCCAAACTTTGTCGAATGCTTTAGATATATCTAAGGCAATTGTTCTTGTTTCACCCCGCAACTCAATCGCTTTTTGCCATAAGTGAGTGACGTATGTAAGTAAATCGCCAGTTGACCTATATATTTTCAAAATCCGTATTGCTTATCGTTGATAATTTTGTACTTTTCCAAGTACTTGGTTAGGTGATTGTTCACAACTCTTTCCATTACTTTTGATATCACCGGAAGTAGAGCAATTGGTCTATAGTTTAACGGATTTGTCTTTTTTCCTTTCTTTGGAATGGGTTGTACTGCGGCAGACTTCCATGATGATGGATATACTCCTTGCCTGTAAGACAAATTGAATAATTTTGCGAAAGTTGGGGTGAGTTCGTTGGCGCAATTTTTGAGTACTATTGCGGGAATGCCATCCGGACCCATTGCTTTGTTTGTATCTAGCTTTTTAAGGGATTTTCGTATTTCTCTGTGACAAAAGGGTACCTCTGGCATACTATGGGAAACCCTTTCAATGAACGGTGGAGTTTTTCCGTTTGGGACTGTTAGGTTTGAGTTGGAGGAAAACATTTGGGCCAGCATATTGGCTTTTTCCTCTGATGTTGTGGCTAAGTGATTATTTTTATCTGTAAGTGGTGGTATGGATGACTTGGTGAAGTTAGATCCAACAGCTTTTGCAAGAGACCAAAAGGACCTAGAACTACTTGGACAATTCAGCAACCTGTTTTTTATTCTTTGATTGTATGTTTCTTTAGCGGACTCAATAGTAATTTTGCAACTATTTCTGGCTTCTATAAATTCTGTGTGGTTTTGAGCGGTTTGTTGTCGTTTCCAAAGGTTATATGCTCTGTGTTTTTTCTGTACAGCCGTTTGACACTGGCTGTTGAACCAAGATATACAGGGTGTTCCAAAAACCATGCGACACTAACAAGAACGGTTAATAATACGAAGTTGGTTAGATTAGCAAGAAGGTAGGTACTGTTCTTGGAACTCACTAAAGCTACGTTTTCGTTTTTGTCGATTCTTTTATTCCTTTTCAAGATGTAAGGCCCTTTGTGTTCAAACATATTTGGTCGTATATTTCCAAAACTACTTAGTTAAGAAGAATCGTTCAAATTTGAACCTTCTCTAGGTTCATCGGCTCTACAAGATTGGGACCTGAAAGTTTGAATCCGACGTTTTGCGTTCGGTGTGTCATCATCAACTTTCTATTTTACAATACTGAGTTAGGATTTTTATTTAATTTAAAAAAAAAAAAAACATTTAAATGATGTTTATTTAAAAAAGGGTGAGGTGGCTTGCCGAGGGATGTTATGGGTAAAGGCCTTTACCAATATTTATAACTATTTTCATGTTAATGGGAAGGAAAGGAGATATTGTGAAAAACCTGTTTTTTGGCCAAACTTTTCAATATGGCGGCGCGAGCGGCAAAAATACGAGGTGGCAAAGTGGAAATTCGGAAAGAACACGTCTAAATCTATAAAATTTTCAAAACTCCCGAAAAACTTTCCAGGTAAAACTACCAAATGACTTTACTTTTTACCGTTTTTTGTGCAAAGTTAAGGGAAAATCTTTATATCTCAAAAAATTAATGAGATAGATACAGCAAATATGGTATTTTCTGAAAGAGGACATTTTTAGTTTTTCGATAGAAAAATAATATACAAGGTGTTGCATTTGAAAAACTCAATTAAACTGGACTTTAAAATTGACGTGTTTAGACAAATATTTTGGACACCCTGTATACTTAAATCGAAAAATGAAGATAATGTAGGATCAACTAGGCTAACATTAAATTACATGTAAATTTTCAAGGGAAACTAATATACAGTGGCGGAGATATGACAATTTTTAAAAAGTATGTTTTGGTCTATTTTTTTCTTCGAAAAATCATAACTTGGCAACGTTGCATTCAACCCAAATACGTTTTTAAAGTTGAATAGAGAGCATATAGAGGCTTCATTTGCCACATAAAAACATACAGTATTCCATTTAAAAAAAACATAAAATTTGTGATTACTCTTTTTTGGGACACCCTGTATACTTGAAAATAATTTTAGGTTATAACAAAGATGAGATGCTGAAACTTTTATACAGAACATTTTTTCATAATTTCAATGGTTTGGCTACTATTAACCGAGGCGCGCTTGTTGGACTACCTTGTATATTGTGTCAACTCATTAAAATTCTAAATTTAAACCCCTAAAATTAGTTTTGAATTGCAATAATTGTCTCACTGAATGCGAATTTAATGTAAAGCAAATTTCAAAATATTCAAAACAATTTTAGCAAAAAATACAATATTTTCAGTTGAAACTAATATCAATTTCTTGTTAGGTCGTGGCGAATATAGTGAAACTTCCAAGACCAATGACGAAATCGAAGCCCAAAAACTTCTTCCCCAAAGACTATCATTCGAAGACAACAACAAACCTACCGAAGACAACACATCCCTGCACCAAAAACTGCAAAATTTACAAAAAATGGTTCAGGGCAGCGCCAATAACACCCCTCGAAGATCCACATGGATTGAGGCCTCTTCATCAGAACCTTTGGGAAACGAAAACATTCAATCCCAAGTGTGCACAGTAAATTGGGATTATGAAGAAGAAAAAATACAAAACCCATCCAAGAAATTTTTTCTATTATCAGGAATAAACCAGACAGAAAAATTAACTGGATGGATAAAATCATTAGGTGCTCAATATTCGAATGCCAGAGAACACATCTCAACTGCAACCCATTTAATTTGCCTCAAACCTGGAAGAAACGAAAAAACCCTTTGCTTTATGGCCGCAGGCAAGTGGATCTTGCACATGTCTTATTTAGAAAAATCAGCAGAAGCTGGACATTTTCTTGATGAAGAAGAGTTCGAATTTGGGAATCCCAAAGCCAAGAAAAATGGCATTTACGAGGAAAAAGACAATTGTATTTTCTATTGGCGCAAGGAAATTAAAACCAGAGGTTATGGGGCTTTTAACGACATGCGGGCAATTATAATTGCGGAAAAAAAAGAATTATTGGCAAATGTTGTGCAATCTGGAGGAGGCGCTGTTGTTAATGTTGAGCCTCCTTTTAATGATTCCATTCATGCAACTCATTGTCTTATGGAGATTAAATCGGTTGATGATTTTTCTCAATTTGTACCTTTGGTTAAACAAGGGATTAAATGTGTGAACACTATTTATGTAAATGATTTTTTGTGGAAGAAGTTCCAGAACGATCTCGATTGTATTGTACCGTATTTTGCGAAGTATTATAAGTAATTATTTATTGGTTTTTTTCTTTATTGTACCGTCATTATTAATAAATTGAAAATATTTTTAATTTTTTTTTGTGTCAATTTTATTATTTCCCAGCAGAAAGTGTAGAAGAGAACGTGTGGAGTGCAACTACTTCGAACAGAAAGTGCAGGACAGGACAGAATATGTAGAGCAAAAAGTGCAAGAATAGAAAGAGCATTAAAAGCAGGGCACAGAGATCAAGAATTATTATCAACAATTTGGACTTAGACTATCGAAATTTATCGATAGTAGTAATCCGACAGATATCGATATGCTTACGATTCAAATTATCATCAGATGATTTTTAAAAGTAAAATAATAATATAATCAATTGAGCATCAATAAATATCAATGGCAACTACTACTACTACTATCGATAGTTCTCGACCTCTAAAGTGCAGTGCAGGTAAACAAAAGCAGAAAATGCAGTTAGGTTTAAAAGTGTAGAGCAGAAAGTGCAATGCATATAGAACAAAAAATGCAGTGCAGTTAGGGTAAAACAAAAAGAGTAGTTGAAGGCAGGGCAGAAAGTACAGTTAGAATAGAGCGAAAAGTGGACAAAACAGAGCAGAAAGTGTATAGAGGTCCATAATAATCGATAGTTTCGACGAACGAAGATTATCGATGTGTTCCAACGTGTCTCGTATTACCTGAACTTATTTTAGAATTTTGTAACTATCGATTTTTTATTAGCGATCTATCAATAGATATCGATGGTGCCTTATCGATGGTTCTCGACCTTTAAAATGTAGTGCAGCTGAAGCGAAGCAGAACGTGCAGTGCAGTAAGGGCTGAACAGAAAGTGCAGTGTAGTGTAATAAGTGTAGTGAAGTTAGAACAGGGTTGAATGTGTAGAGCAGAAAGTGCAGTGCAGTTAGGGCAGAGCAGAAAGTGCAGTATAGCAGGAAATATGAGAAAAATATCGATACGATATTTCTAATTCACTAATCTGTTTGATTGTTTAAGAACTATCGGTAGTTGCCGTTATCGATTATAATGATATGTTTGATTATCGATTTTTTTCGACAATTTAAGAATATTTATTATTAAATATTCGTATAAAAAAGTATTGCAAGTATACACTAATGAATTAAGTGGTGAATGACGTCTTGAATGCGCCAGTGACGTCATTAAAATTTACTTCATCGACTGTAGCTACTAAAGGATAGCCTATCCTCATAAGGCATATGTGAAACAAATTCCCCCCAAGGCCGCGCCAAGTCACCAGTTGTGACGTAGGCAGCATATCCTTTTTTGTCTGAACGTAGGCTGTTTGCACTACAGGTTATCATTCCGCGGGCTTTTGCTTTTTGCATACTTGGTTTTACTACATTAATTAACATTCTGTCTGAAAACAACCTTTTTTTAGATCTCGTTATCATCTTGCTCTTTGCCTATTTTGTTAATCAATTAAATAATATTTTTCATCATACATTTAAATTCTAAACTAGGACTCTCTAGTGCAAACAGCTAAAAACATGTTAATGATGTCGGAAATGGTGACGCACCAATATGGCGTCGAGGCCGATAAGCAATCCTTAGTAGTGTGTTTCATCATTGTGTAGCTACGGTAAGGACAGAACATCTATTTCAGCATATTTGAAACTATCGAAAACCATCGATAATTATCGAATTTCTGACCCTCTATCGATAAATAACGATGGCACTCACTATTGATAGTGCAGTGCAGGACAACAGAAACTGCAGTTAAGGCAGGACGGAAGGTGTAGAGTGAAAATTTCAGAGCAGAAAGTGCATGGAACTAGAGAAATATCAACATAAACTACGATCGGCTGAGCAAAAAGTGCAGTGCAGTTAGAATAAGACTAAATGTGTAGGACAGTGTAGTCAGGGCAGAGTAGAGAGTGCAGGGCAGTTAGGGCATGGAATAATAAAGTCGGTCCAGAATAGCATTTTTTTTTCACTAAATCCATATTATTAATTAAGAAAAACTATCGATACTTTCGATACGATATTTCTGATTCAGACTATCTGCCAATGTGCTAGAGCGACGCAAAACGTGCAGTGCAGTTAGGGCTGAACAAAAAAATGCAGTGCACTTAGAATAGTGTAGTGCAGTTGAAACAAGGCAGAATCTGTAGAGCAGTAAGTGCAATACAATTAGGGCAGAGAGTGCCGGGCAGTTAGGGCACGGAGTGATAAAGCCGGGCCAGAACAGATTTTTTTCACTGAATTAGATATTAATATGAAAGAATATCGATACGTTCGATACGATATTTCTGATTTAATTATTATGATAGAATATCGACACTTTACGATATTTCTGATTAAGACTGGACAACTATCGATAAATGACGCTATCAATAGTATGATCTTTTTAATTATCAATAGCTGTTGATAAAAGGAATATTTTTAGCTCAATAATTATTATTGATTCTAGTTTACTATAGATGTGATTAGATCTAAGAAAAAAGCCAGGTGGAATTTCTAAAACGAAGCAGAAAGTGCAGTGCTAGAAAAGGAAAGCAGAAACTGCAGAATATATCCGATGTCCACAGGTGTAAAATGTATCACCTTTCAATGCTATTTGCTAAGGAAAGATGATAAATTCACCTGTACCTGTGGACATCGGATTGTGAATAGGATATAGAGCAAAATGTGCATTACAGTTTGGACAGAGCAAAACTTATACAGTGGACAGTGCAGTGCAGTTAGAGTAGATTGAAAAGTGTAGTTAGGGCAGAGCAGCGGATTCAAAGCTTTAAGTATTTAGAAAGTACAGAAGTCAGAAAGTATATAGAGGTCGAAAAGTATCGATAGTTTGGTGAAACGAAAATTAACGATAGTGGTTTTTGTAGTTTCGATAGTTGTTTGTTATACAAAATCCGCGTTTTGCTAAATTCACCAAAATGGTGCACCGCCACGGATGCGGTGATTGAAATTCACTAATGCCAATGCCAAAACACAGCTGTCTAATTCAACAACACTGCTTTTTATACCATTCCACCACGGTGCCTACACCAGCTGAATTTAGCCACACGCAGAATGTAATTGTAATGGCGAATTTAATGCGCACTGAGTTTTATGCAAAAACGGTATCAACTTTCCAAGGATTCTCGTTTTTGGTAATAGCCGCCATATTGGTGCATTACCATGTCCGACGTCATAACTAAGTAGTCAGCTGTTTAGACAGCCTACGTCAAGGTGAGAGATAACATGCTGCCTTGCCTACGTCACAACTGGTAATTTGGCAAGTTGGGGGCTTTGTTACACACAGGCCAGTGTATCATCCTTGCCACCTTTCTACTCTGACTGTTCCAAGTGCACTGACTCTTTTTGATCTGTTCAACTGCCCGAACTAACTTGACTATTGTAATTCTGTTCCATTTGCACTAACTCGATTAAAATTACTCCAAGTATTGTTACTGCATAAATAGATCTATCTATTTTACCCACTGATCTAAAAAATAAATGGATAAACAAAGAACGCTTCTAATGCTGCTAATTTACGAGGTCAAAATCTAAATAAAAACAACTGACTGAGACAGCTGTGAGCGTGCGCAGTAGATACATGTATTGTGTGTGCACAAAATCTGGCCAATGAAAATGAAGGAATTTCAAAATTTAGAACAGTTGTTCGAAAGATAAGACACTGCGCAGGCGTTAGGCTGTTCCGCTGCACAACTGTTCCGTATGAATTGTTTATCCATTTATTTTTTAGATCAGTGGAACAGACTGAAAATAATCCCTTCTTCATTTAAAATCGATAAAAAAATTAACTCACTAGCACAGTCTGAATAGTAAGCATTTCATCGAGGTCTGCAAGTGACGTCATTCGCAGTCCCAGAATTAGTTGGGGAGGGAGTTAGGAGACGGTGACACAATTCACACATAACATTTGAGCATATTCAGATTATGTTTGGTTTGATCATCCTCGCGAAAAATTGCCTTTTATGTTGCTGCTATTCTCCATCTCTATTCTTTGATAATAATCGGGACAGTTCCATGCACAACGGAAAGTCTCGATATTTTATATTCGATATATCGAAAAAATATCGATATAATCTTCTCGATACATAGCGGATCTTTTATAATAAGTCCTTTGCCGTGCGCAATGAACTATAGCTAAAAACTGGAATGCGCACACATTGCCATATCTGCCAAAAAAATGAAGCCATGAAAGACAGATGCCACAAGGGGGAATGTTGTTTTTTTCTGTTGCTCGCTGACATATGACGTTTTCAAAAGTTTTGTCATATTTCCCTTCACAGGTTTCATCAATTGGAATACGTGTTGGAAGCAATTTTCGCCATTTAACATAATAAGTGCGACAAAAACAGGTATCCCCTCCGCAGCAGCCGCACTAGGCTTCACGTTCGTCCTTATGTGTTAGCATTCCAGTTTTTGGTTATAGTTCATTGGCCGTGCGTATAGTTCATTGATTGACAGTGACAGTTTGACAGTTGACAGAGGCGGCAAAAATAAAACAAAACGTCACTTAGAGCGTGTGCGTCAAGGTTGCCAAGTCTCATGATTTTTCATGAGATCTCATGATTTGGACACATTTTTCATGATTCCATGATTTTCAATAAAAATCTCATGATTTTTGGCGCAATACGCATACTCCGGTAATTCTATTATTTTCATTTAAAATTCAAACTTTGTGTTTGATATTTTAACATTATCTCATTCAAGCGCTTGCGTAGAATGAATATTTTCTATAATTTATAGGTTTGTTCGCACAGAAATTACAAATTAGCTACAGCGAATTTCATTGGTTGAAAACAGTCAGAAAACTTGTTCCAACCAATGAAATTCACTCTGACTGGTTCGTGATTTCTGTGTGAAGAGACCTAATATACATAAATCAGAACCAAGAAACAGGTTAAATGCGTCAACTTTATGACGGGTATTATTTAAAAAAATTGACAGAATAACTAAAAGTTAACTTCTGGAATAATGTTACGCCTAAAGGCTCGCTTTCCTCAGATGCGGGACGGAACCGGAACCGGAACGCAAGC